TATAATTCTATACCGCCTAAAAAATCGCACCTCCAACGCCACCATCCCCTCCGTCATCGTCTCCTCCATCTTCACCCCCTCCCCCTTCCTCATCGTCGCCATCTGCACTCCCTCCCCCCTCCTCATCGCCACCATCTTCACCCCATCCCCCTTCGTCATCGCCGCCATCGTCACCCCCTCCCCCTTCGTCATCGCTGGTGGGAGGCGACAGCAGGTGACCGTTTGGCGGACGGGGGAATGTCCATGCAGGGAAGTGCGAGTACGTGGCGACTATGGCCTCCCAACCGATCGGACCGCGCGTCGGATCGCCCCACCAACCACCATTTAGCTCGTGCAGACCTTGCGGAAGGTCCCCCCATCCCTCCGCATTATGCCCGGCTGTGTCCGTGCTTGATTGCCCAAACACGGCAGAGGGCACTGATGGAGACGATGGGGAGGCGGGCGTAGGCACGGAATTCGTCACGAGAACGGGGTTCGCACCAACCCCCCCCCCGTCATGCGCAGCTGACGAAGACAACAGCGGCAATGGCGCCGTCGAACGTGGGGACGCCACGCCGCTTTCATCGGCCATCTCTCTCTCTCTCTCTCTCTCTCTCAAACGAGAAGAAGACGACGAATCCAAACAACAACAACAAGAAGACGACGAACCAAATGAAGGACAAGAAGACGAAGAAGAAAGAAGAAGAAGGAGACCTACAACGAACAAGATGCGAAAGAAGAAGAAGAAAGACGACAAAGCGGAAGAAGAACAACAAAGATGAGCAAGAGAAGAAAGATGAAGAAGAAGACGAAGAACAAAGAAGAAGCAAAACACCAAGAACGAAGAAGAAGAAGAACACAAAGAATGAAGAAGTAGACCGAAAACGAAGAAGAAGAAGAACGCATCAGGAAAACGAAGAACTCTCTCTCTCTCTCTCTCTCTCTCTCTCTCTCTCTCTCTCTCTACCCTCCACGATGCGGACGCAGCGTACGGACGTCTTGACGAAGAAATCTCTCTCTCCTTCTTTTCGAACGGACATACAAAACATATACATATATATATATAAGACAGAGAGAGAGAGAGAGAGAGAGAGAGAGAGAGAGAGAGAGAGAGAGAGAGAGAGGTATCCACGCCAGGACTTCGTGGAAGGGGGTATGCCGGGCGATTCAGTCTTCGACACATACGTCGGACTACAAGTTCGGTTCCGGGGGTGGGGGGAGGTGGGGTTGAGGGGTTTGGAGTTGGCGGAAGGGGGGGCATACAACGGCGTAAGGGGAGGTAGGAGGTGG